TATGTAGATGAACTTTAAGCCATGAGCCAGATAAAATGAGAATAGTTAGGGAAAGTTTTGGGGTATAACATCGGGGAAAGGAAAACTTATGCTAACATTTCTAAGTTGCAAAGGAAGTAGATTCATCCTGAGGATGTCTCTCTTAAGAGTGGTTTTAGACCGAATCTTAAGTTCAATTCTAAGTCTACAACTCATTTTCATAAGGGCCCATCTGTTTGATCTAAATATTTTGCTGACGTGGTTTTGAACAAGGAAGATATTCAACGTCAACCACCAGCTCATTTGGTTTTCTCAACTGACAAAGATCTATATCAAAATCTAAAAAATGCTTAAATGGGTAAGGTCTTGGTCCCAGACTCATCTTACAACATTCAAAATATTTTCCATGTTGAAGGGTACTTCCGTATAAAGATAACAGTGCTTGGCTCGAATCTTTGTCTCCTTGAGGAGGTTGATAGCAGAGATATTTTATATTTGATTCAAGGTGATTGAGATTAGTGGGGCCAATGGCTCTTAGATATTCTTAAATGGAACGAGTCAGATGTGGATAAAGAGAGATTAGTGTGGGTTAGATGCTACGGAGTTCCTTGTCATGCGTGGTCGGCGAAGTTCTTCGAATGTCTTTCTTCTACATTAGGGGCTTATGTTTGCTCTGACAACACTACATCTAAAAAGGAGTGTTTGGATGTGGCTAGGTTCATGATTAGAACCAATTGTATGATGGTTATAAATGAAATTTTTAATGTCAAGATCAACAACCAAATATTCAAAATCAAGATGGTCGAGGATTCTCAAGGGGTTAGGAGATTTAGTCGAACACCTTCACTGCTTCGACCACTAATAATTGGGTCAGTGTCATCAGGACGATTAACCTTTAACGAAATCTCAAAAGTGACGTTAAGCCACAGTTGAAGGAGCCAGAAAGGTCCAGCAATCAGAAAATTACCTTTTGGCTTGTTGTTCCTCAGGGCTTCAGTGGCTTCTCTTAGTGATGTATATAGGGATCCTAAAATCAGCAGACTAAGGCATTTATTATTTCCTTTGTGAATATGATTGGAAAGGGTCAAGCATCGTATGGCTACCATTGAGGATTTGCAGCATAAGACATATCTTGATAAAATAGAGCCAAGAAGGCGATATGTTCTTCAGCAAATACCTCAGAATTGTCAGCAGCGTGGTAGTCTGTAATATACCTCGTGAAACCAACACGATTGCTATCAAACTCAACTTTGTCATCTTCATGTTTGGTGGGTTCAAAATCGTCACCATCTGGGCGAAGGCCAGTGAAGGCTACCACGTCAAAAAGCATGGTTTCAACATTCCACAAGGAAGTTGAAAGGTGTTAGTCATGCTCTCCCAATAGTAGATGGAGGCAACAAGTATGTTTTGGCAATATGTTAGGCCAGTCCTTGACAATTATATTAGATCAAAGATTTCCAGTTCCTTTCAGATGTTACCTTTTTAGCTTATATCTTATATAGCCAAGAGATATAGTCGTTGTGTTTCATGGGGGGGGGGGGGGGGAGCAGAGCGAAAAACCCACAAGTTGGTGGACTGATACTCTAAATCCATAGGTGCACAAATACTAGTTACAGACTTAGTTTTATGATAAGCGGGGAAGAAGTCTATGGATTTAGTAAGATCCTCTTTAGGATCAAGCGTGGGGCCCATAAGAGCGTGTTCAGTACCATAAAACATAAAAGGGATTAGTACCTCAGATTTGAAGATTTGAAGTTTTTCTTCAAGATTGGGAGGTTCTGGTGCATATTATTGGTTTCCCACCACAGTGGTGTTATTCAATGAGTAAGCCTGAGGAAAAGGCTCGTTTAAGGCTTGAGAATTCTTGTTGGGAGGCGCCATTGGTGGAAAAATTGAAGTTCTGGTGAAAAAATGTTGGAGAAAGTTGCTCTGAAATGTCTTTTGCAGTAGAAGATTGGGAGAAGAATGGTAGAAAAGTATTGAAAGGTTGAAGAAGCACTATTTATAGTGGGAACTAAAAGACTCCTCAGTTTTTGTACCTAAGTTGTATACACGAAAGAGGAGTGACGTGGTGTCTTAGTGGAAGCGGAAGTTGGTAAGTTCTCTGCACGTAGCTATACCTACCCTAGGAATATGGCGCCGTGATGAGGGAAAGTATGGGGAGTGGAGAAAGCACGTTATCAAGGTGACGTTTGACAGAAAAATGTCATGATGAGAGTGACGTCAGCCCACTAGGTGAACAGTACTTGAAAAGGTCAAAAACGCCCATATCTTCTAAAAAGATGTCGAAAGAGGCCTTTTTTTGGAGGGGAATTTGTTAGCTGGGATTTTCGACCAATGGAAAAAACCAGCAAACAGGGGCAGTGTAGAAAGAGTTTTTTTGTTCGACCATAGTTTTAGACTTAGAGAAAATTTGGTTGTCGAAAAAAGCATCTTGACACCAATGTACCTCGACCAAGCAGGTCTTACTACAACGAAAGGTTGGTCAAGAAAGCAATTATTTAGACGCGTCATGTCACGTTCAAATTTTCTATAACTACTTTAGTTCCTTTTCTAAAGAGACACGTGGAGGAAGATTGAAGACGGACCGCATACAGAAACGCACGTGGCGAACCCAAGGAATAGGAACGTTGAAGATAGTTATTTTACGTTTGTATATATAGTAGTTCATTATGTTGAATTAGGGGTGTTCGTTATATTACAAAAAATCTCACTGAAAACTCAAAGTATCAGTGTTAAGAGAAATGAGTGAATGACTGAGAGAATGTAAGAGCAAATGAATCACCATGTTTTAATTTCAATGCAAAGTTTTTTATTTTATTCAATTTGCTTATTCACGTTCATCATTTTCAATTTCCTTCAAACTTTTATTTTCATTCAGTACTTTCAGCATTGTTGCTTCTAGTGTATTTTCTTCTTGCAATAGCCGAACTCATTTCATTGTCTTACGCAAAACATTATCCTTCGACCAAGTCGAAGACAATCATTTTAGATACAAGAAAATCTATAACAAAAGGTTATTTAGCACTATGTCCTATGATTCATTGGTTAGTTCTGCAAATAACCCGTAATTTTGAATACCAACGATTGTTTACTATTTTTCAGCGTAAACACATCCAAACCACTCTTATCATAATCAACACAAACTATGTCCTATTAATTCCAATGAATTTTCATAGATTCCTCATTACTCCCCACCCTATCCCACCAAAGAAAATATTCAAATAAAATTGTAGTTATAGAAACAATACATGTTAGAGACGTGAAAAAATAAAGAAAGTAAAACGAGAGAGAAGATAAAACAAGTATTAGTAAGACAAGTTGACCTTTTCTACCTGAGAGTATTTTATTTTATTTTATCATTCATGGGTTTCAAGAAATAGAATTTATGAAAATTATCACCTATCAGAAGATCAAGATAAGTAAATGTAATATTTCCAATCTTACAATTAAAGAAAATTACTGATTCAACCAACAAGGACTGAGAAACATTAACACCTTGGCTAGAGTTTTGTACATGTAACTAACAAGAAAAATAGGAAAATTATACAAGTTTTTGAGTTTGACTCTTCTAAAATAAATATTAATTTTAATCACATCTAATATCTGTTAAAATTATAAGTAAAATAAATTAATATTATTATTTTTTAATTCAAAAACAATTTAAATTAATATCTAAAACAGTTTTTGAATTTGACTCCTCTAAAATAAATATTATTGAGAAAAAAAAGTTAAAAGTTAATTTCAACCACCTATAACTCATCACATATTTAAATATAATTTCAATCATTGATTTATTTATTACTTCTCATTATTAACTATTATGTACTTTACTATTTGATAATATTTATCTTCCACTTTAGAGTAACCTACTTGTAACAAATCAAAGATTTGGAATATTTGATTCGAAACAGTGTGCTAGTTTTCCACTTATAGAAATAAAGAAATGGATTTTTTTTTAATGCACATATATAAAGCAATACAGCTATTTATATAACATAGAAATTTGTATATTTATTTCTTTTAATATTATTTTATTGTTGAAATATTAATGATTATAACTTTTTTGGGTAAAAAAATTACAATTTATGGATAGATTTAATTATTGAATTATGTAATAATAATTAGTCTCCTATTGGTATATATAAGAATAACATTTTTATGTAGTGGGTTTAAAAAATCAAGTGAGTTACAGTAATTTTGTAAAATTTAATACAAAATATTACCATATTTCAACCATAGATTTTAAAAAAAATTGATAAATTCTCAAAATTAATTTGTTTATTTTTTGTTATTAACTGAATTAGACAGCAACAAAATTGTGAGTGACCAAATTAAATATTTATTTTAATTTTAATTAGTTTTATTACTTTTATTAGATGATATATAAAATTGTGTAGACAAATTAAAGTTCGTTAACCTTTTCTTTCCTTTTATATTATATTAATTCAATGCATAGACCTATGTTTCTACCTAGACTCATATGTTTATATTTTTATATTTTTATTATATGTTTAAATATTGTTCTAGCAACAAAAATTATGAAGTTATATATGTTTATATTAATATAAAATTAAATTGAAAATTATTTTTTGGTCGATGTAATTAATAAAAAAGATTGAGTTTCAATTATGGAGAATATATTGTGTGCAAATAAAATCAAATATTTTCTTAACAGATATTTTCTCTCTGTCAAAAAAAATCTTTTTGATATTTTCTCCTAATGTATTGCCTTATGTAATAATGATGAAGATATGCATAAAAAAAATATTCATTACATCTTTTGTTGTCAAGAATTTACTATTTATGAAAGGCCCATAGTATTTTGAAAAAAAATTCTCTTTCTTTCTAATCTCTTTAAATTTGTTCTCTCTTCATCATTCTCTTTTTATTATTCTAAATATCACTTTTTCTCTAATTTTATCATATAACCTTTGTAGTCAAAGAGTTGAAAATCATCCAAATCTAAATACTAGTATTTTCATTATTCAGAAATTCAATATGTTAACTTGATTTTCTCAATGGCATTGCTTCGACCTTCATCTTTCATAATCTTATTGGTATGTTTTTATATTTATCAATTCATGCATTTTTTTTAAATATTTGATTCCTAACAAATTATTTGGATTTATAATTGAGTTTCATCAAGTGTTTTTCATAGTTAAATTTGTTGTTTATTTTGAATTTTGATGTTGTGTTATTATAGGCATTTGGTGCACTAATAGTTCTTGCCACATTGACACCATGTTGGTATGTGATGGTCACACATATCCAAAAACGCGCGAATTTGCATTCGAAAAATTTTATGTCGCATTTGCAATCTGAGATTGAGTACTCTGTTGAATTGTTACAACCATTAAAGTTTTCATCAGCAAAATTATCGACATTATTGAGTTCGACTGTTTATTCTCCTAATATCACTTTCTCTGATATTAACACTAAGGTAAGTTGTTCAAAATCTCCAAAGAAAAATATTTTTTTTGCTAGAAAAATCTTAAATGTACTTCAAATTTTCGAATCAATAAAATTATTTTTGATTTTAATGGTAAAATTTGTTTGTTCTTTGAAGGTGGCTCCATTATTATTTCAAGCATTGAAGACAATCCCTCACTTAACACAAATTTCATTCATTGGAACTCAAGGTTTTGTTTTCACACACTATAATGATGGTGATCAAGTTCTAGCAATGTACTCTAATTCTTCTAGAGTTAATGCATCAAATAAAACCATATACTATATTCAACCTGTAAATGGTGACACCGGAGAGATTTTCGGGGAAGCCTTAATATCGAACAACACTATTGATATCAAGACAAGTTTGATAAATAGTACAAACGATACTCGAGGTGAATTTGCATGGTTAGGAACAAAGTTGAACAATGTTAGTGAACTTTTATTCGTCAATTCGGTTAGAATCAATAAAATAGGTGTGATATCTCTTGGATTTTCGGCGAAAACAATAACCGATTATGTCACTCGCTTTGTTGATCGTCAAGGGACTAAATCATATTTGGCTACCAAAGATGGAAATGTGATTGCAAAGTGGAATCAAAGTATTGGTTTGAAGATTTTGAATGATAGTGTTTTATTACAATCTTTGAATGCTAATGGAGGTATAATAAGGAATGAAGGAGGTGTATCTTGCAAGGATCAAGTTTATGATTCTAGTTTGAAAATTCAAGATACTCAATATTTTGTTCATTGCTATCCTATTGATATTATCGGAATAGAATCGGTATGTTTTTATATTTTTTTAATTTGATTATGAATCAATATTTTTGTTTGGTTAAGTTAAGTCAGTTCAGTTGCTAACTGTGTACAGGTGTATGTGATGGCTGTTCCGAAAAATGAAATTTTTGGCTTCGATCCGAGATATAAAGAAAAAGGATTGATACTCTTGATTGTAATGATGGTGCTAATATTTATAGCTATCTCGAGTTTGGTATTCATGAACATTGGAGTAATGAGAAGAGAAATGCATTTGTGTGCTTCACTGATAAAACAAATGGAAGCAACAGAACAAGCGGAGAGAAAGAATACGAACAAGAGTCTTGCTTTCGCGAGTGCTAGCCATGATCTTCGCGCGTATCTTGCAGGTCTTATCGGTTTGATCGAAATGTCTTCTAAATTAGTTCAATCGAATACAGACACTGATTTGAATTTGAAATCGCGTTCTGAATTGGAAACAAATTTCAAACAAATGGATAACTGCGCGCAGGACTTGCTAGGACTGTTGAATTCTATACTCGATACGAGCAAAATCGAGGCAGGAAAAATGCAACTGGAGGAAGAGGAGTTTGATTTATCGTATCTTGTTGAAGATGTGGTTGATTTGTATTATCCAATGGCGATGAAGAAAGGTGTAGAACTTGTGTTGGACTCTTGTAACGGTTCTGTTATAAGGTATTCGCGCGTGAAAGGCGATAGGAGAAAACTGAAGCAGGTTTTGTGTAACTTGCTTAGCAATGCTGTTAAGTTTACTGATGAAGGACACATAACGGTAAGAGCGTGGGCGCAGAAATCGACATTGCAGAAGTCGATAATCAAGAGTAATCAAAGTAGTGTTATGAAGCCTTTGTCTTGGATGTTTATTAAGAAAGGTGATAAAGAAATCGAGGACATAGAAGCGGTTAGTTCGATTCAACAAGATGCTTGTTTTATGGATTTTGTGTTTGAAGTGGATGATACCGGGAAAGGAATTCCGAAAGAGAATTATAGATCGGTGTTCGAGAATTATGTTCAAGTTAAAGAGAATGCTGTTGGTCAAGTTGGAACTGGCTTGGGACTTGGAATTGTGCAGTCACTGGTAAGTAAGCATACTTTTATTAGTTCTGATGATTTGAATCTCATTGCGCGCATTATGCGAACGTTTTCGATGTAAATTTGGTTTATAAAATCGAATGCGATTTTCTCTAGGTACGTTTGATGCATGGAGATATCGAAATCATGGAGAAAGAAGTTGGCAAAAAAGGAACATGTTTCAAGTTCAATGTGCTTCTCGCTTTATGTGAAAACGAGACGGTAACTTATGGTTTAAGGGAAGGTTTTGAATATGGATCGACCTCGGGCAACGGAAACCAAGTTCCGGAGAAAAGATTCATTCACAATGTTAGTTCTGGTTCGAGTATTCGATCTTTGAGTCCAAAGTTACAGATTTGTCCCTCTTCTAGTCCTAAGACCGAGCCTTCGCGTGTTATTCTTTACATTCGCGACGAAGAAAGAAGAAGAACTTCGCATATGTTCATAGAGAGTTTAGGGATTAAAGTTAAAATTGTGAAGAATAGGAAACATCTCATTGATACTCTCAAGAAGATAAAGAAACAAAATGGTCACCTAATTAGTGATCAAAGTTCTTCCGAGTCTTCAGAATTAGGTTCTCGTTGTACGTCTTATAACTCTTCTTATAGTAGAGCTTCGACAAAAATTCCTTTGAGAGCTTTGGACGGAGCTGAATATGTATCTTCGATGTTCAAGATGACAAACAACGGAGCTGCACTGAGTTTTGTTTTGATTATCATTGATGCAAACGCGGGACCGTTTCCTAAGCTTTGTAACATTGTGTCGAAATTTAAGAAAGATCTTCTCAATCCTTGTAAAGTTGTTTGGTTGGAAAAGCCTTATGAAAGTATCATCAATTTCAAAACAATCAATCGAGATGACATTGTGATATCTAAACCGTTTCATGGAACTAGATTGTTTCAAGTTATAAAGCTTCTTCCCGAGTTCGGTGGGAATTGGAAAAGCAGTTCTAGTAATAAAGCTTTACGAGAATTAAGATCACAAGTATCTTCTCACGACGAAAGCGTGTATAGGGAGAAGAAAAGTTATGTTGATCAAAGTGAAATACAAGAATGTGCAAAAGACTCAAATAACTCAAAACCTTTAAGTGGAAAGAAATTTATGGTTGTTGATGATTCTCCAATGTTGAGAAAGATTGCTATGGCTACTTTGAGTTCCCTTGGTGTGACTAGTATTGATCAATGTGAAAATGGTAAAGAGGCCTTGAAACAAGTTGAACAAGGTTTAAAAAATGATTTTCCTAATCCTCCTTATGATTACATCTTAATGGATTGTCAGGTAATTACTTATTGTTCAACACACTTTAAATTTATATCTGTGTCTATGTCTGATACTGGTACGACATCTGTGTTTTTTGGACAGATGCCGGAGATGGACGGATTTGAGGCGACTCAGAAGATCAGAGAAATGGAGAAAGAATATGGTGTGCACATTTCTATCATTGCATTATCTGCTGAGATTGATAAGTTGACAACAGAAACAGGAATGGATTTTCACATAACCAAGCCTATTAAGAAAGAGCATTTACTCAAAGCTATTACATACATAGAAAATAGTGAGATATAATGTAAGTTGTTTATATAGTTTTTAGGATAAAGGAGGCTTTGTAAACATGTTGGCTTTCTTTGTTAATTAATTTTTTGAGGAAGGCTTTTCTTTTTGAAAATACAGAATTAGGATGATTTAATATATGGTTAGTATGATATATTTTTATGTAAATATATTCAAAAAATACACTGAAAATATTATGTTTATTGAGCTAGGTGTAAAAAAAATAGTTGCATTACTTTGCATATATAAGGTATGGTGACCCATTAAATATTCATTAAAAATAATTAATCATAATTTTAAAGGTCATTATTAATATAATATGACAATAGTAAAATATAAGAGTCATTATAAAGATGTTCCTGATGATTTTGAATATAGTGCAATGATAGAGTCATATTTTGAGATATAAATGTCATTTTAAAATGAATCACTCATCAATTAAAACTTGGCATTCATGGCTAAAAATCGACAACAAAACATAACTCTAATATTTATTGGTAGTAACTATTAACTAGATAATTTTTATGAAAAATGAATATTTAACATTATTTTTAATAATTTTAAATAAAATATTTTATCTTCAGATAAACTTGTCCACTAAAAAATATCCTTTTTATATCTTTTGATTTTGAAAGATAATAAAAATATTTAAAACTTATTGTTTATAGAAAATACAAATGCAACACTAATATTGTGAAATATAGGTTACAAATTTAAAACGTGATATTTGTTGAAAATGTAACAAGTGTGAGTACGTAATATGGGAAGTAGTTTTATATTGGTTGGAAATGTGGAGACTTAACCATTTATAAGTGAGAGAATTCACCTACCTATTACCTTAAGGATTTAGGTGAGTATGTGGCGTGTATCTCACTAAGGTGTTGTTCAAAAAAGGAAGTCCCACAATGTTCAATGTTCCCTAATGAAAAACTCCTCCAACATTTGCCATCAAGAGTATGATTCTGATCCACAAACACCTAGTGTGCAACATGAATCATGTCTCTAATAAAAGAATCCCTGCAAACCTACTCATTCTTGATGCGAAGAATTAGGACAAATTGTGTACGCAAATGAAAGTGTTGTTTGGCTACGAAGATGTTCTTGAATTGATCAAAAATGGTGTTACTCCTCTTGTCCAAGATGTAACAGAAGCAACACATAAGGAAAAGAAGAAGAAAGATTTCAAGGCGTTATTTTTGATCCATGTGTTAATGGCGACAATTTTGAGAAAGTTGGTGATTACGAATCGTCAAAGCAAGCTTGGAAAATCTTAGAGAAGGCTTATGCAGGGGATGAGAAGGCGAAGGTGGTGAGGTTACAAACTCACAAACATCAGCTCAAATTGATTTAAATGGAAGAAAAGGAGACAATCAACAATTTCACAACGAGAATCACTCGGTTGGTAAACCAAGTCAAGGCATGCAGAGAAGCTGTTACGAAAAAGTATTTTATCGCGAAAATCTTGTGTTGTTCAATACCAAGATTTGACAATGTAGTTGTGACGATTGAGAAATCGAAAAATCTTGTGACGATGAGCAAAAAGGAGCTACAAAGCTCTCTTGAGGCTCGTGAACAAAGGATGGAGGAGAGAAATAATGATAAGGCAAAGGTGGAGATCGCTTTGCAAGCTCGCTTCAATGAGATGGACAAGAGATCGAAAGGAAAATGGTCCATGAAAAGTAAAGGGAATTTTCAGAATTTTGGTGGAAGAGAGTCCCAAAATACGAAGAATTCGAATTGTCAAAGGGGTGAGAAAAATTGTAACAAAATTGGTGGTCAAGGCAACTTTAGAGGTGAAAATAAGAGGTTCAACAAGAGCAAGGAGCAACACTACAAGTGTCAAAGCTTTGGTCAATTTGCAAAAGAGCGCAATGTAAACAAGAAGGAATGTCAAGGGAATGAAGACAAGAGTTTGATGAAGCGAATAGACTCTTGGTCATGATCACAGAAGGAGAATGTAGCAGTAACAAGTTGCGGGACAACAGCAGCAGCAACTCAAAGCATTCTGAAAAAATTAAGGTATGACCAGTTGAAAATACGATTAACCGGTTACATGAAGAGGAAGATGTCATGATAAGTATGAAAGGAGCTCAATGCAGCAAGGAGTGGTATTTGGACTCAGGTTGTTCAACTCATATGATGAGGAGAAAGGAGTGGTTTGTCATAAACAATTGTGCCATGACGAACAAGGTAGAGTTCGCGGATGATACTACTCTAGTGGCAAATGGGATCATTGACGTTTTGATCATGAGAAGGGATGGTGGACATTCCCTTGATCAAAGATGTCTTGTACATTCTAGAAATCAAATGTAACCTTCTAAGTATTAGTCAATTTCTTGAGAAGGGGTACAAGATTCACATGGAAAATACGGGACTACGCGTTATGGGTGCAAAAGGAGTTTTGGTCCTTAAAGCGCCTATGACTGCCAATAGAAACTTTAAGGTTGAGTTGAAGGTTATGGAGTATAGATGTCGTGCTACTGCAGTAAGTCCTGAAGAATTGGTGTGGCACTATAGTCTTGGGCATCTCAACTTTAGAGATCTCAAAGACTTGCAAAAGAACGGAATGATAACGGGACTATCATTGATTAACATACCAGCTGAAATGTGTGAAGAATGTATGCAAGAAAAGCAACATAAGGGTAAATTCAGCAAGGATGTTGATCGTAGAACTAAGAATCACCTTGAAGTGGTGTATTCTAATGTGTGTGGGCCGATGCAAGTAGATTTTATTGGTGGCAATATGTACTTTGTCACATTTATTGACGATCATAATAGAAAGCTATGGACATACCTAATCAAAGAAAGGATGAGGTATTTGAAGTCTTCAAGAAGTTCAAGTCCATGGTTGAGAAGAAACGTGGTCACAAGCTCAAAGTGCTCAAAACGGATTGTGGAGGAGAATATGTATAAAAAGACTTTGAGAAGTTTTATGGTCAAGAAGGGATTGTACATGAGGTAATACCATCCTATACACCACAAAAAAATGGTGTAGCCAAAAGAAAGAATCAATCGATCATGAGCATGGTGAGAAGCATGTTAAAGGGGAAGGACTTTCCAAAAGAGTTATGGGGAGAAGCGGTATTCGCAAGTGTCTATTTATTGAATAGGTGCCCTATAAAGAAGCTTAAAAATGTGACACCGGAGGAAGCATGGTCGGGGTTCAAACCGAATCTGAAACATTTGAGATTCTTTGGTTTCGTTGCATACTGACATGTTTCGAGGCAACTTAGAAAGAAATTGGATGATAAGGGAGAAGTGATGATACTTGTAAGATATCACTCTACCGGTGGTCATAAACTGTTTGATGTTGTAAACAAGAGAATCGTGATCAATAGGGATTTCGTAGTCTATGAATTGAAGCAAATGCAACAAGGTAAAACCAGTTACTAGTAGATTTTAATCGGTTACATGCTAGCGTTAACCGACAACCATAAAGTTGTAACCGGTTACAACTTTAAAATTTCTAGTTCTTAAGAAAAGGGAAGTGCAGAACATCCTGTCGTCTAAGCCCGAAATGAAGAAAGTGTTAAAAGGTCAACAAGGCAAAGGGGTTTGCCTCAAAAACTCCAAGATTGTGAGCTGTTCCGAGACAACGAAGTCAATGATGATGGTGATTTCGTCCATTTTACCCTTATGACCTAATCTGGACCCGTTAATACGGAAGAGGCCTTAAGTATTCCAAAATCGATATGTTCTATGAAGGAGGAGCTGGAATCCATTGAGAGGAAAAATACTTGAGAGTTGGTTGATCTAGCAAACATAAAGAAGACAATTGGTGTGAAATGGATGTTCAAAGTGAAAGAAAATCTCAAGGGTGAGATAATCAAGCATAATGATCGATTGGTGGCTAAGGGATTTTTGCCAAGAGAAAGAACAAACTTTGAAGAGGTATTCACACCATTTGCTAGGATTGAAACCATTAGGCTTATTGTTGGTATTGCAAATAACCACAATAGGTGTATCTGCCAAATGGACGTCAAATTCGCATTTTTGAATGGACCACTTAAATAGGGGGTATATGTAAGACTGCCCCCTGGTTTTGTTGTGAGAAACCAAGATTTGAAGTTCTACAAGTTGAAGAAAGCGTTATATGGTTTGAAGCAAGCTCCAAGAGCTTGGAATAAAAGGATAAATGGTTTCCTAAAGGGTGTTTGGCTTTAAGAAATGTGTAGTCGAGCATGGAGTGTATGTGAAGACGGATATGAGTGAAGGAGTAATTATCCTTTATCTATATGTAGACGACTTATAGATCATGGGAAGCAACATAAAGTGTATTTCAAAGTTCAAGAGTGAACTTATGAAAGAGATTGAGATGATCGACCTTGGTCTCATGACATACTTCATTGGTATTAAGTTCCACAAGTCCAAAAGGGGATTGCTCATGCACCAAAGAAGATATGCTCTTGAGATATTGAAGAAGTTTGAAATGGAGCACTACAATGTTGTCATTTCTCCATCTGAACCAAGGTTGCAGTTGTCTAAGAATGAGAATGAGCAAAATGTTGATCCAACTTAATATAGAAGGTTGATTGGATCCTTGCATTACTTATGCAATATGCGACCGAACTTGGAATTTAGTGTCACTATTGTGAGTAGATTCATGTGGAGACCGGAGGTGTCTCACTTGGCAGTAGTCGAAAGGATCCTAATATATGTCAAAGGTTTTGTTGGCTGCAGAGTTCTCTTTCCCGCAGCAAATACGGACAGAAAATGCAGTTTTCCCGGTTTTACCGATTCTAATTGGTGATGGTGCGAAGATAAAGATGATCAAGGGTCTACAATTGTATACATATTTATGTTTGGTGCAACACCAATATCATGGTGTTCGAAGAAGTAATAGGTAGTTATACTCTTATCTTGTGAGGCCGAGTATAGTGTCGCTTCGTTATGTTTGTGTCAAGCCGTATGGCTTATGAATCTATTGGAGGAGCTGGGCAACAGTGAAGGTGAGGTTGTTACACTCCTAGTTGACAATGTTTTTGCGATTAATCTTTCTAAGAACCGAATTGCAC